ATAATATCCTATAATTGATTAAAAATTTTATATATATATATTAGATGTAATAAAAACAAATCCATTATTTTTCTATTCAATTTCATGCAAAAATAATGGATTTCTTTTTACTACACCTAATATATAAGATGTACAGGGTGTCTAATAATTATTCTGACAGAGTTCGTGGACATGTAGAGCAGACTAAATTGAGATGAAAAATCCATTTTGCAATTTTCGCAATAGTTAACAAAATATTAATTGTTAAAAATTGCCGAAAATTGGTCTCCAATAATTTTTTACTCAAATACTATCAACCTTACAGAAAAAATTGCAAGAGATGAAAATTGTTTATTTTCTTCTCATAGAACTCTACGAATTTTTTCAGAATTTTTTATCAACTTTTTAGTACTATATTTTCTCATTTTTAACAACATGAGAAAACACGGTATTAAAAAATTCTGAAAAAATTCTAAAAAAATTCTTAGAGCTCTATGAGAAGAAAATAAATAATTTTCGTCTCTTTCAGTTTTTCTGTAAAGTTGATAGTATTTGAGCAAAAAAATATAGTATTTGATTTAAAAAATATTGAAGATCAATTTTCGGCAATTTCTTGTTAATTATTGCGAAAATAGTAGAAGACTTTCCACTGGAAAAAAATACACGTCTGCCTAATTGTCCTCCCCCCTACTTAACTAAATTTTAATGAATAAATTATATAATAATGCGGTGTTTATGCGCTCTTAAAATCCGCAAAAAAAATTTTTACCCTCATTTTGTTTAGCTAAAAAAAAATTTTTTTATTGGGAACTCAGTAGGATGTCAGTCAGCCCCCTACGTGTTAATAACAACTGATTTAGAAAATCAAATACACAGGATTTATGCGCTTTCATGCTATTCACATAGTTTCACTTTTTGCGTTGCATCTCTTAAGGTACTTCCCTCTTGAAGCAAATAGTCATATTCATTCTTAAGTCATTTAAAATTGTAAAATTACACTATCTAATTGTGCAAAATAGAAAGAAGTTAACAAATAGAACGAAAGTATTACCAATCCTATTTATTATATTTATCGATTTATTGTATCTTTGACTTTTACCTTTCCAAAACTTGTACATTGTTATCTTTGATTTTTTAAATAGAAACACAATCGCTTGGAATTCATAGCGCATAAATAAAAAACATACTTTGCACAATTAAAGTATTTTCACAATTTTTAATAACTTAGATACGAATGCTACTGTTTCATAGAATGAGTTTTATGTTTATATATTAATTTATCATTAGCTGCTAATACTGTTATTTTTAGCTAACTAGAAAATGAGAGGAGGTACTTTTGTGGTGAAAAAAAAAAATATCTTACAATATTTTAAAAAATTTCATATATATAAAGATTTACATATATTAATTTATGAAGATTTTTTTAAATACTTTAAACTTCCAGATTTTATAATTTTTTTTCGAAAATTATAGAATGAGAAATCTTAAAATATTCCAAAAGTTGCACTTACATAAAGAATTTTAGAAAAGCTGTAGACTTTCTTAGTATTTCTGAAAAATGTTTCAATTTACATTAAAAAAATCTGAAAAATTTTCTAAAAATCAGGACATTATAAAATTACATAGAAATTGTGAAAAATTCTCAAATGTATATAGAAATTCCGAAAAATTACGTGAAGAATTCCAAGGAAACTTTCATAAATTACATAGAAATTGCACGCATTCACAATGCAAATTACACTGCATTATATGCGCTACATAATAAACGCTAGAACGATGGAGGAAAGTCTAGAAACGCGATCACCTCCGTGCATCTCCGAGTGAATATTGCGACATACGCGCGTATCAAACATATAATTATACCTTGCGTAATTCTATCTCTCTCTCTCTCTCTCTTTCTCGTTCATTATTTTCCGCGAGGACAGGTACGATTATGGAAATTGCGTGGCGTTCGTGGATCATCGTTTGCCGGATCTTCGGGGACGTGCCATCCCGGTGATCGTAACGATAATAACGACCGTGTTTTACGCGATCGTGTTAGATATAACGAGAAAAGAAATCGGTCGTCGACTGGTATCGATGAACCGATCGCCCGTCGCTCGGCCATTTTGAAGAATTTTTATCGATTTTTATCGTGGAATAAACACGCGGACGCATTCAAGTTAGTCAAACAAATATTTTTTAATAGGTGAGATAAAATTTTACAATACGAATTTTTACCGGTAGTAGTCAAACATAGTATAATAGTGCATGCACTATTATAACATTTTTCATTGGCTGGTGCGCACTCAATGCACTTTAAAGCCGTTATACATAAATCGACGTAAAGATGTTTAATAAAAATATAGAATTAAACTGCGAAATCCTCAATATATTTTATTGTGGTATTTGATAAAATATACATTGGGTATTTTATTGAGATATCTCTTTTTACATTCAGATTAGGTTAGTGCACAACTTCAATGCGCACTTCAGTGCGCATTAGTTCTGCCAATGAAAAACATTATAGTTTATTCGCGTACTACAGGCACGCGAATTGTGTAAAAAGTTGCGCCAGTCAATAAATGAACAATAAACGCCATGTTCCGATATATGGGAGAGGGAAAGGAATGAAAAGTATTTATTAGGAACATTTTTTTAAAAACCTTAATTTAAAAAAAATAAATATTAATTAGCAATTTATTAACGAAAAATAAAATAGATTGTATATTTCTCAAAATTATTATACAAGATTTGTAAAATAATTAAATTACACGAATAGAAAAACATTGGAAACAATCGCATAAAAATGTTTTTTTGTCTTTATACAAATATTCCTAATGTTTCTCAATAAAAAAAGAGAAATAGAAATTTGCAATAATAAT